ACAACCTTCAGGAAGAGATGGAGGTTGACAGATACCTCGGTGCTCACCAGAAAAACAGACTGGACTGGAAATGCAACACTGAAAGAAGGGAGAGGGCACACTGGACTTGTTGAGGGTCTTTGGTCATTTAATGTTTACACCAAGGTGTTGGTTTCCCTTGTCTTTGCAGCCAGACGACTGCAGAATCACAGTTACTGCCTCAAAGAACCAGTAAAAAATAAAAAAGAATCCAGGTTCTGTGAAGGAAACTGCAACAACATAATATTTTCTACCTCATTGAAGTGTACACACACACATAAGAATATATATTTGAAGTATGACACAGCCCTCCTTGGCAGATAATAATTTGAATGAATTTTGTCAAAAATATATAATACATCTTGTGGTTGAAGACAAAATGGAAGTATGGTTGAATTGTAAAAAGAATGTACTTCACACCTTACCAGTATTGTTTTGTGACCCTTTACGTGGCTTTGTTGCCAAACCCCAGACAAGAAAAACAAATGCTCTGCTAAAGTAATGTGTTATTGATGGAACATCTGTTGGTCCCACTTGGTTGAAAGCTCAGCACTTAGCTGCAGCATTCCCTGCTCCCCATCCTTACGAGGATTTGGTGACTTCTGTAAAGAAAAACTCAAGATGTCAGCTATGCTGTGGAGCTTTATTTCTCTTCTCCCTCGTGCTAAGGTGGTACTAAATACTGTATGAACATTTTTCTTAGATTAGACTGTATTTTTTGCAGCTTTTTCTTTTTACGTATCTTCCAGATTTAAGGAAACCATAACTAAAGAAAGACATAACAGATTTAAAAAAAAAATAGAAACAAAGACTGACATTGGAAAGAATTTCATGGACAAGATAAAAGGACATGGATTGAATATGACTACATAGTCATTGCAGCTTTATTAAAGAATTTATTTAAAAAAAGAAAAAAAGACTCCACAAAGGGATTGAAAATATGTCTTGGCTTAATTCCTGTCATGACGTGTTTGCCACTTTTTCACTCACTTCTGGGTGACATATGCCAGAATGCTATGAATATTCCCCGTTTTGCCTACATGCAGTTTATTACATAAGAGATTCCAGTGCATAGCTGCAAGGCATTACCACCGATGGGATGCTTTCACTACGCTGAGTTGGTGGGGTCAGGTTCAAGTTGAGGAAAACAAAAACAAACCAACTCTCTGCTGTAACTTTATCCTCCTCTCATTGGTCAGAAGAACTGTGTACTGTGTATTTGTTTTCCTCCTGAAAGTTGCACCTTCGCAGTGTCAAAACAATCCCTCCTACTCCACATTGGACCCACTAGGACCCCTTGCTTTGGCCTGTGGGCTTGTTTTGCCTGCCAAACACATACACATTCACGTTGAGAGCCGAGAACAGAATGACTCATTTTCCTCCTTTGTTGTTTTTTTCTGCTTTTTTTCTCCACTTTTCAGTAAACTAATGTCTTTCTTGTTTTGTGCAGCCGTAATCAGAAACGTGTCATTCAGGGTGAAATAATTTGGTTATTCATTGCAAACTGACCACAGTATTTCTCGCTCACATGTCCAGACCAACTCGTGTCGATGAATAGGCACTAACGGTCTTGATTGATACATGCAATCTTACATAGAGTAATACAATAAAAGAATTGGCATTCATTACACCTCCATTGTTTTGCAGCAGCAGAGCGAAATCACTGATTTACTGACAAAAGACTTCATGAAAAATCTAATTTATACATAAAAGTGACTGCAGCTTCTACCTTTGAACTCCCCTTGTTTTTCCTTGAACGTGACAAAACTATGACACCTACATGACAAAAGGATTCTTCTCCATCACAGAGTCAATAACGGCATATTAGCATAATTTGTTGTCTGCATAATTCAAAGGATCCTTACCTGTATTTGAGGAGCTGTCTTCCAAGTTACGCTCTTCAAGGACTTAGGAGTGCGCTATGCATGTTCTCCTTAAGAATAATTGATTGTATTTGACATGATATGAGGAAGGTTTAGGGATTTATACTCTGTAGATGAGATTTAATCAATCCAAATGAGAGAGTGAGAGAGCTTTCATTCCCGTGCCAGTTTATTAGTAACAAATAAGCTTTTTTTAAACTCACCTCCTCCAGAAACAGCTCAGACCTGTTAGTATCTGAGAATGGAAATTAGCATGATCCCTCACCTCATTGTGCCTCCAAATAATCCCTGAGCATTCATTTGACAGAAAGTAATGAAACATTGAGTTAAATGCTTGGGCATGTTCCAGAGCACTTTTGCGTGGGGCTTTTAGGCATGAGAAGTGGTGATTATCTATGAAGATTGCCTTCTGGTTTATTAAAGACAAAATTGTAACGTGATTGTGTATACCACACATACTGAATGATGAATAAAGCCCTAGAGATGACTGGGCATCGTCCAGACCAAAATTTCACTTGGCATGAGTGTCAAATGGAATTCCTGCTCAATCAAAATTAATTGATTAATTAAGGGATTTATCATTTACCTGATAGGTTGGGATGTATACTTTGGTACAATTAATAAGTAAAAAAATGCAAATGTAGTTTGTAAACTAATAAGTGAAATAAGATAACTTTTAGTAGCTAGATGCCTTTTTAAACCTAAATAATTGCCTAACTTGAATGCTGCGCAGTGAATGCAGACACACTGAGCGATATATGCTGTCCTTGGTTGCGATCATTCAACATAACAAGTATTAGGCACCTTTACTTAATCCTCACACTTTTGGCCACGTAAATAAAGCTGCGGACGTGTTTTAAAATGCACGAGAATTAATGTTGTGTGCTATGTTCTCAATGTGAGTCGGTAAACAACAGATGGCCAGGAAGGCCTCTTTAGCACTATGGATTTTATCTAACTACCCACCTGAATGACCTGTGTAGAGCTGCAGCAGCTGATGCAGAGGGAAAAAAAATTGCGAGTTAACCGCTCGCTCTTGTTTACTTCAGTTCCACTAGACTGCAAGGCCAGAGGAGACATTTACCATGCATGGAGAAATTAGCTTGTTTATCAGCATTTTGATTTGGTTCCCGCCTTGCCTTCCCACTGACATTTCAGACGTACATGATCCATGACTGATTCCCCAATCAAAAGCACAATAACAAAGAACTTGCTTGTGCCGTTTTCGTTTTTGCTTGATTACATTTTTTATGATTAGCACTGAGCATAATTAAGAGAATGACTTGTTATGTGCAAGCTTTCAGAAAAGTAACCTTGAACACTGTATATCTGTCCTGTCAATTGGAAATCCTCCAATGATTACCAAGGAGATATTACACCTCATGTCCATACAGTACGGTATTGGTTGTTTGAAGGTGATTTGCAATAGTTTATTGGAGTTTTTTTTTTCTTTTACATCATGATGCTGCACCCTCAGACCTCTCAATGTACTTTGGACTTAAATGGTAGGGTGAGCTGAAGTCCTTGAAAGGTTACAAAAATCTTTAGCCATTCATTAGTGTAAAGGTGAAGTGTGAAAAGTGAAGGTATGTAATGAAAAATAATACTGTTCCTCATCACCAAGCTATCTGTAGATATGTTTGATATCCCATTACAAGCCCAGAAGTAACCACACTTCTATACTGCCAAGAGACAAACATAATCCAGAGGGAAATTACCCATCAGGAAGGCAATACTGTTACTGAGATGCAATTACCAGGCCACTTGTGAGACTTTCAGTCCAGTGTCCATGGATGCATGTGTGTGAGGGTGGTCGATATGTGCATAACAGCTTTTATGTTTAGCAGAGTAAATTGGATTCTTTGTTGGAGAACAGTTCATTTAGAATATGTCCAAGATGCAAATGATTGATGTGACTATATTGTTACAACTGTAGGCTTGTGGTGCAGGGCAGCCTAATAGAAAAACACTCTGCAGGGACAGAAAAAAATGCCTTTATTGCAGAATTATGGAGAAATTCCCTCTCTACCTTTGGGAGTTCCTAAATCAAATGAGAAGAATTTTGGCAGACTGTTCATATATTCATTTTTAAGTAAACATTAAGCAATTGGGTGGAAGAAAACAGTGTTTGTGGTAAAGTTGTGCTTCGTTTTGCATTATATTCCAGAGATCCTGTGTTCTTTTTTGTTGGTAGTTAAATAATCTGCATCTCTCACAGAGGATTTAATGTACCAATTTAGCAGTGAATCACATAGCCTACAAACAAAGAAAACAGTACGGATCTGAATTAACACGAGTGTAAACATTTGATAAGGATTTGCTGTAGGCAGTTGCCATGGTTTATTATTGATACAAAAGTAAAAATCTGAGAAACATGACTTACTTTGGTGCGTGATGTACTCTGCACTGTTCTATTGTACATCATATTCTCAGACCGCCTGACCAAATTGAAAGCAACATTCCTGACAATGGCTTTCTTATAACCCCCCCGAAAAAAGATCACAAATCGAGGACATTCCTACCATACGCAAATTATCTCCTTGAATCTTATAATTAATCATAGCTAACTTCAATGAGCGCCAGTAACCTTAAATGTGGCACAAATTGAAATAGAAAAGAGCCGCATGCACCTCATGCAAGGGAAGTGCACGTGGATAAGAAATAAAACTGCCTGCACAGAGTTTGAGCCTTGCATGCATAATAAATGTATGACAAAACAATACCCCAGGCACCCCAGTATTAATGATATGCAGTGAACTCATTATTAAAGTTCCAAAACAGCTCCTGGAGTAACACAGATGGAGTCAATTAAGCAATGAGCATACTTGCTTGCCTGCCGTTTCATCTTCTTTCTTTTATCTCTTGCATATTACTCCATGGATGTAATTAGCTGTATGTTTCTCCCCACAACATAATGTCCAGTGATAATAACAGTTATTTTCACTTGTAATTTCAAATAATACTCTGCTTAATAAATGTACCACATTTGCTGGCACGGTGTCCTTGGGTATTTCAATTGCACTGCAGAGTTGTTGAGTGTGCTGCTGTAACCGCTTTTTTTTTTCTTCCCTATGTGCTGTTTCTGTTCCCAGAGACCTGATGCCTTCAACACTGGAGGGGCAGATCACCATGGAGAAGACACCCAGCTACTTTGTGACGAACCATGCCCCGAAGCGCATCCACTCCATGGCCAGGGACATCAAGCTTATTATTGTGGTGCGTAATCCTGTCACCAGAGCCATTTCAGACTATACACAGACTTTGTCCAAGAAACCTGAGATCCCCACTTTTGAGGTTCTGGCTTTTAAGAACAGGACGCTGGGTCTAATAGACGCCTCCTGGAGTGCGCTGCGTATAGGGATATATGCGCTACACCTGGAGAGCTGGATGCAGTATTTCCCTCTCTCCCAAATGCACTTTGTCAGCGGGGAGAGGCTGATTGTGGATCCTGCGGGAGAGATGGCCAAAGTGCAGGACTTTCTGGGACTGAAGCGGATCGTCACAGACAAACACTTTTACTTTAATAAAACTAAAGGATTTCCCTGTCTGAAGAAGCCAGAGGACAGCAGTACCCCAAGATGCCTGGGCAAGTCGAAAGGGAGAACTCATCCTAAAATTGACCCAGATGTGATACGCCGGTTGCACAAGTTCTACAAGCCCTTTAACATGATGTTCTACCAAATGACCGGCCAGAACTTTGAATGGGAGCTTGAGGAGGACAGTGAATCTCGCAGCTCTCAGGACTAGCATGGCACTTCTCAGCCACACAAGCCTTCTCATTGAAACTTTTACTGTCCCGCTTCGTCGTAAGAGAGAGTGCTTGAGCCCGCCAATCAATCAAGGCTGTCCTTGCAGTGTCTGTATCTATTAGCAAGAGTTTACTGACATGCTTTTTCTTGACAATTGCAAATCATTATTGTGTATACTAAACATAAAATATATTTATATTTGTGTAAATGAGCTGATTTATTCTTTTTGTGTTTCAAGCATAGAAGTGATGAAATCATGTTGACTTTGCGATGCATGCGATGAGTTAAGTGTCCTTACCTCATGAGCCCTAAGGGTAAACTGCTTGTTTCTCTTTCGTTTACTTTCCTGCAGTTTGTTGCCCTCACGCCCACTCACCAGCATTCAGAACAAAAAACAAAGTAGATATTCTATTTCAAAGGCTGAGGCCATGAAGTGCTCTGTATCATTTCTTTCAACACACTCCTGCAGGTTTACAAGACGGCGAAAGGAGAACATACATAGCTTTGTAATCCTTTGACATGTGCTCATCTTTTCGGCTGTCCATATTCTGAGGGGAGACAATCCTTTTAAGTTTACCAAAGTGTTAATTTACTCTGTCACTGTTCTGGTTGCTCTGCCCTCATTAATTGCACACATATCCAATAGGGGAGCTGATGTACATTGGCCATCATTCAATAATTGGACTGTTTCACAGCACAGTTGAACATTAGCATACTGATGACAATGCACTCTGGTGTGGTGCAGTATTGGTGGCTTTATAATTTTGAAAATGAGCCCATCCACTCTATGTGCATCAAGCAATTCAGCATTTGGACCAAGTTAGTTTCCGGAACACATCCCATACATCAGTTAACTTTTACAGTGATGTTTGCCTCATGACCCTCCTCTTTCACAGGAATACATTAAATGAAGCTAAAGAAAAACGCTGCAGGACTAAGCAGAAGTTTGTTACCAAACATCTGCTGCAACCCTGTCTTCTGTCATTAGAGATTAATGGTGTGTTAAATAAACTGCTGCCACTGGAACAAAGTCAATGTCAGAGAGAATTTGCTGTCAAGGTAATTCTACATACATACCTAGGTTCAATTCCCAAGCTGTCATTGTATGCGCTTAACTTAAGAAAGACCATCCCTAACAAGAATTTTGGTTTTGACAGAAATTTATTGGCAAACAAATGTGACATTGATACAAGACCGATCAAAATCTTTTCTTATTCCATTTTTTTATTTTACGTAGCCCTCTGTGTGTCTCTTGTCTCTGGACTTTTCATCAATTGAGACAATCAATACAGTCAATGAGTCAATAAATACAGTCTGCTACACATCACTAGTTGCCACCGCTATGATGCATTGCTCTGTTAATCCTTCCTGTTCTCTTGCCATGGACGACTGGATTGGTGCATTCTCTGCAGACCTCACTGTCACCCCGGGGAGGCTGACACCAGCAGCTACTTACACAGAGCAATTGATTCAATCAAAGCAAGCGCTATGCTGCCCTTTGTAGCGCCAAGCCTGAACACTTACCTCGGAGTCATGCCATCCCAGAGTCACAACTTCCACTTTAAGGCTTTTCTGTGCAGCGATCCCTCGGCATTTTCTTGACAATCTATCTGCACCTTTACTTCTCTCCCTTTCTTCTTTTTGTCTCTGACCACTCAAACATCCAATCTTCAGAGTCACTACAGTGTGTTGGGAAACAGTTTAGCCAAGGAGCCACATTTAAACTCAACTAAAGGGAGACATGTTGGTAATAAATGTATTAAAAAAAGTTTTATCATAACTGATTTAACATATTTTTTGTCTAAGCTTTAGAACATGCTAAACCAAACCTCTAAAACAAACAGTCCCTCTTAAGTAATGTAAAGAGGCTGAAAGAAATCTACAGAAGGCCATTGCAGTGTTGCAGATAAGGATTCCATTTTCCATCTACTGATGTACTTATGTTGTCATTTACATTTTCAGGATCACTTGCTAAAGGGAATATGTCTCCAAAGTGGAGACTCAAATTTACTATCTAATTAACCAAAAACATTTTTTTTTTCCGTGCATCTTGCTTGTTTTAGTTACAAACCGAGCCGCATCACACATTCTGCGAGGCCTATGATGCATGAAAGACACGTGAAGCTGCCCTTTATGTGCTCCTCTCGGTGGGGGACATGCTGTGATATTTGGCTACAACAGTATTTCCTGAAAAATGTAAGACAGTGTGATGACTAATCAACTGATCACCAAACCATCACGGCTGAAGCACCGTTCTGTAACAAATTTGGAACAAAATTCATATTGAACTGAAATGTGAGCTCCAGCTTATCAAAAGTTATGTGGATTTCTCTACAATATGTACCAGTCTATGCATTGAAGGGTTTTATTCTCCACAAGCAACAGTTTTGGTCATAAAATGAGTCACAATATCATCCCGTTCATTGAAAAGCTTAAAAGAAATTGCTCAGGCTGAACCAAACCAATGCAAACAGCTTGGTAATATGCAAATGAATAAATGCGAATGAGGATGTAAAGTCTTCATAAATAGCAACTAATTAGTTTTTCACTTCATTTAAGTGTATGATTACCAGCTGTGTGAAAAGGCAAAGTGATGACAGTTTTTTTTTTTTTTTCGTTTTGCACCACTTCACTCTGAAGTTTTCCTTTTAGTCTCTTACATTGTTCTCTTTTATGACCATTGGCACACCGGCATATTGGGGGAAAAAATTAAATTGTGTTCTTTGTTTTCAGGTACAGGCTTTGAATTCTATTATGAATGTGTGCAGGTTTGTCACCTGTTGAATCATTCCAAAACCCTAACCCAGAAAATGAAATAAGCTTAAAATTAAATGCAACTGTACACTCTTCTACCACATTTATCATTTATCCACAAAGCAATTGCATCTGCATGAATATTTTCCCTTGGTGGTCTTTGGGGTATTCATTGAATTTAGTTGCTACCCATGCACCGAATTGCAATCAGTAAATTAGAGATCAATCCCCTCCTCTTCCGTCTATGTTTTCAATATATATCTTCAGATGAATCATGGGGAGTTTCCAAGGACAACCCCTGTTGTAACTGAGCAGAATCATTTTCAAATCTGTCTCATTTCCTCAATGTGAATCTACATTTCCCTCTTAACTGCATCAACTTGTGACCTGCTCCACAGAGTGGGACTGATTTTCCATGTATTTGAAACCAGCGTTGACAAGAGTATAGAAGTTTCTTCGCAAGTCATTACAACATGGATTTAATCAGGGCTAAAATGAATTAATAAACAGTCTTATAAACAATCAACGAACCATAGCATGCACCAGAAGTAATCATTTTCAACTGAGGCCTCTGACAGAGTCAGGAACTTCCTCTTCAGCCAACTCAGGAGAGGTAAGGCATTTTCTCATTAATCTTGACACAATTCTCTCTTTTTTGCTGTGATGGGTGATTTGCTATTTCTGCTACCCCACTACATTCTTCCAGACCACTTTTCCTTACACAACGCTCTCTCTGATTTTAATCAACATGCCTTTCTACAAAAGAGTACATATGATTTAGAAAAAAAATGTATAAAAATATATATCTGATAATAACATTAAAGGAAAATCCAGTAAAATACCAAAAATATCTGATATCATTTTAACCTTGTGTGGTTTATTACTAATGTGGCTTTCTGTTTGTTGTTAATTAATGAGATTCTGTTCAGTGGCAGCATTGTGGGATGTTTAAAGGTTTTGGTTTAGTAAAAATGACTTCAAAGCAGAAAACATTTTATTCAGCACATTTATCATCTTATATCCAATTAAACAGTTATCAGTGAGAGATAAACATGTTGATGATGTAAACCAATAAATTAGGCATACATAATTAATGTATGTTTAAAGGAATTGGCAGAAAATCTCATCACTCCCCAAACTATTCTATGTTAATATGCAGTAATCCAGTTGCAACTGAATGATATCAATGCAATCATTTTCCCTGATATTTTGTCCTGTTGCTATTTTGCTTAAAGATAACATAACAAATGCGCACACACAGTAAGTTGAATGTCTGCTTTAAGTCGCCTGTTTTCTATCTTGTATGAGATCTGAATCAGCAGTCAGTGTTGGACCTAGAAATCAACGTGAGCCAGATCAATGACTCTTATTCTAACTGGAGAGTGATCAAAGATAAACGAGAGCTCTGGGTGACTCCAGTTGACCAGCTAGTCGAAGAGACAACAATCAATACAAAACTCTGCTCATATAACAATCAGAAATCGCACTCCCCTTGAACTTCCATGGCCCAAAAAAAAAACATAAAAAGAAAATCCCACACTCTATTTGCTCCTTTTGCTGTAACAATCCAACAAAGGGACTCAATATATTTTCTTCATTTTCTTTCCTTTCCTTTAGTCATGCACAAAAGTCTTTGCATCTTATACCTAAATTTGAAACATTTTTTATGTTGTATCATCAATACAGAATCTACTATGGTAAATGCTAGGGCGAGACATTAAAGCACAAAGGTGCAGCATTCCACAAATGTATGTTTTGTTCTCAAACTTATGAACAGGATATATGTAGCACACAAGGGAGATAAGCTGCACGTTCCGGTAAGAACATCAGTATCAGTGTTATAGCATCTTGTTGGAAATGGCATGTTAGCTGCTGCTCATAGGTTAAAAAAAAGAAAAGAAAAAGCCATTATTTTTTCAAAACTAGGCTCGTCTACCTTTTATCGGGAAAAATGCATAAGTAGAAGTCAATGAACAACATGATTCACCTTTAAATTTTGATTAACAGATAATACAAAAAAATGTAAGATCTGTTTTTAGGTCAATTTGTGTCCTGATATTTGATTTTTTGATGATATCATAACAGTCATCATGAAAATGTCTGGGATTGACACAGCAAAAGTATGGAATGAAGGAACGTTTACTAAACAACAGCAACAAGTCAATTAAATGGCCTACAAATGCATTCCAAAAATACAAAACATCTTTCAAGGTTTCTTGTGCTAAATTGAATCCAAATGCAGCT